TGTTAGCTATAACGCAGACCTTGGAAGATATTAGTTTTACATTAGTGTTTTTTTTTTGTCTTGACTCACTATAATTTTGTAAACACTAAAGGTTAATTTTGCAAATACCATTTCCCCTTTGTATATCAATCAGTGTCTAATATTCTTCAGAGAGTAGACCTATCTTTAATACAAATTTTAGCTCCAAGCCCTAAGACTTCGCCTCTTATGAGGGGGGACTGAAGAGAGGATTTCACGAATTTTGGGTTTATAGTAGGGTACGTTACCATTTGAGTTTCAAAAGTTGACAAAGCTCTAAGAAATACTAAAAGATAAACATTTTAATATTATCTAATATTTTGATATAACATAAACAAATATCCCTGTGGACAGGGGAGAAAGAATTCTTCCAAGGACGTCACACCTGTCGTAAAAGGCGACTAAAGTGACGTTGAGCCGAACGTTAAGTGGCCTTCTATGGGACCACTTCTCTTGCGACATACCTTCCCCGGCCCGCAAATAGCGCCTAGCGCTACTAGTCGGTCCGTGGTCGTAGGGAACCCCCTTTGGGGAGAACCACAAAAGCCAAGGTACGCCCATAACATAAACAAAAAGGAGAATCACCCGGTTTATATATATTGAGAAATATAAAGTATACAGTATTTAACCGAATGTAAACGCATTTAAAAAACAATGAAAATAAAATTGACTCGAGAAGAATTACACAAGTCTACAAAAAAAAAAAAAAATTTTTTGGTGCAGCTCTGTTTGTCTCTGTTGTATAAAGAATAGTAGTTTCAACCAGTCAGCTCTAGTTTACCTATTACCCTTATTTTGAATTTTTTCTCGGCAGTGGCGTAATTTAGTCATGTTTGGGGGGGGGGGGATAAAAAAAAATTGCATAATATGTATGGTCGCACAAAGTATCTTTTGGGTACAACTTCTGATCCATAGACTTCCTATATTATAAAGAAATCGGTTTAGCAGTTTAAATGTATCATAGGCCCAGACAAAAAGATTAAAAAGCATCATTGTAAAACCAATATTTTCTCAGCTCCGCGTCGAAGTTAAAAACTAGTACAGTCTAAACCAGCACATTTTAACCCATCATATTCCAAACCGAGTACAGTTCAAACCAAGTACAATCTAACCAGTATAGTGTAAGTCAGTACAGTCAAAATATCAGTAAAGAAGAAGTAAGCAAATTTGGGCCACATTAATTTTTAAATCTGAATGTTTTTTTATCACAATCAAACGTTTCTATGCAAATCTGGAAATACGTAATAGTAACAATCCAACACAGCAGTAAGAAATTACCAAAGTGGGGTTCAGTATACACAGATTCGCATGGAAACGTGTTCTAGAAGAACTGAACAAGATACCTAAACTAGTTTATATATTTAATGATTGATAAATCCATAAAAACAAATTTAGTTTAGAAAAATGTTTTCTTTAGTTAAGAAGGTAAAAATGAATTTTGCTTGGAACATTATCCGAACCTGTGCTTTTGTTAAACATTTGTATAATTAAGTATTAATTCAAATTTGAATACTTAGTTTCAAGAAAAAGTTGTACTATGTGTAAAAAAAAGTAAATTACAGGCATAATCAATGCAGCAATACTACAATTTATGTGTATAAAAATAATATATTTTAATAAATGTGTCAAATCGTTAAATCCATTTAATTATTAAGATTAACCCAGTGACACAATAAGGTAGAGAGTGTTAGGTATCTAAAACATTAAGATTGTTTAAACTTAAAATTTTTTTTTTACAAGTGTATAAATAATGGCCAAGTTTCTTTTTAACATTTCACTGTTTACAATATTCTATTTGCTCTCCATCATAAGTCATATTTTTCAATCTTGGATGTTTATATTATCAAAACAAATTATTTTATTTAAATCTCATTATGACATCTGCGTTTAAAAAGTTACTCGGATTTTACGCTTTGGTACAGAGTTGGGTTGGTACTTACATTGGTTAAGAACCTTCAAAAGTTAAAAAAAATCTATCCTTTCAATAATCGAAGAAAAATCTCAAGGTTATTTTAGTTTTTAAATCTGATACATTGTAATTTCATAAAAAAAGCAAAATATGTGATTTAACAGGTTTTTTCAACATTTGATAAATCATTCCTATTATTTTTTTGGCAGTTTTGAAATAAAAAATTTTTAATAAATAATTTAAAACAAATATGTAGACATGGTGAGTATTTTGACATGATTACATATATCTTATGGCTGGAGTTCAAAATTTGCGAAACACTTTTCAGTAAGATCAAAATCTGTCAAATTTAATCAAAAGATTAAAACATTATTTTTTCTTTTTATTGATTTATTCACTCGATTCTCAATAAGAAAAAGCATTTGAATCGTGTAGAACGTCCAGTTAAGATTAGGAGTAATTCGAGTGTCATAAGACATATTCATGCTTTATAATATGATATATTGTCTATATACAAAATACCCCACAAGGATATTTTGACAAATTAAATATATTTTGTTCTATTGAATATTTTTAAGATTTTTTTAAAAATATTATGTATAATAATAATATTTAGTAAAACAACATATTTGTGCTATAATCACTACAGTGTTTATTTCTCTCAATTTAAATTGTTTTTATTAAATTTTTTTTTTTTAAATTCAAGATAGCAATTTTATTTAAGAAAAATTTGATAAGAATAATGTGACTGGTCGATAACCAGTTAAGGATAATTACTTTAAAGGTTAAAATTTAAGACGGGAGGTGGAGTGCGGTAGAGTAATGCGCGTAGTTATTTTTATCTGCACGCATTACTATTTCGCACTTTACACCTCCCATCCTGAAATTTATACTTAAATAACTAAAATTAATTACAGAAAATTGGTTAAGTACACAACACATATACATAAGTAATTACTATTTTAATTATTTTGTTATAATCAATTTTAATAAAAAAAATAAAATCGTCTATAAAGTACACTTAAAATACAATTTATTTGTTTTGCTTTATTCTCAAGTCAAGGAAGAAGGTTCCATGGTGAATGTGTACTCATATTACTAATCAACTTACTACAGTAATAATACATTACTTTGGTAATCAATACTTGTTTTTTTGAGAGTAAGAAAATGAGCTGCATATAATTATGTAGGTGGTTTTCAAGAAACACTAACGAAATGTTCGTGGGAACGTACAACACCACATCCACGTGCATAAAAACCCATGTAATTGACAAACGTTGCGAACATTTTGCGCGGCAGTGTGGACCCGGCTTATTGTCAGTGACTAATAATAGCTAAATGTCATTTTTACTACGTCTTATAATAAAAAAAACATGTGCATTGTTAAATATACTGTAATATCACAGAATGCAACCATCAGAATTAACACTGATAACAAATTACACGGGCAGCTTATGCCGCTCTCGAAATCAGTCTGCCATACTCTCGGAGGACAAATCAGTGTATTTATATAAATATATAAGTGTGTATTTCTCATATATACATGTATGAACAGTATTTGTCCTCCGAAAACATGGCGGGTTGATTCCGTGACATTACAGAAGTGTCCAGGCCCTGGTAATATTATGTGGGCAACCCTCCTACTCGAAGAAGGGAGTTGTGGTCTTAAATGAGCAGTATGATAAAGAGGAAATAAGTAAGGTATGCGTCAAAGAGCGTTATTGGAGCATTGATGATTTTTTAATAGAAGTTTAAAAAATATGACTTACACGGTTGATTTAATGCCTAAAGGCTAAAATTATATGTTATAGTATTCCAAATCAACGTATGGGTTTTGTGACATTGATGCGTAATTTATTAGATTGGTTGGTACTTTATACCACACTCAAAGGTATTAATAATCAAAAGCATTTTATTATATTTGTACACTTTAATGTAGATAATATACACTAGGGGATATAGATAAACTAGCGTGTAAATTCTTATTGATATAACATAAAGCTTTTGCGTATTAAGGGGACAAATATATAAAATTTTTTTTGCTTTCGAATATTAAAATTTATAAGATTCGAAAGCAGTTATAAGTTATAAGTTATATAACTCTCTTAATAGTCATATATACAGAGTTATTTGTAAAAAACAACTTTGCGCTATCTAAAGACTTTTCATTTTAAAAACGCGTAATTTTTTTGGTTATTATTGGTCTTAGCATAATTATCGTCTTAGACGAATTTCACTCTGCGTACTGGTTTTTAGACGGTGTTGCAGCTGTTGTTTGTATTTAAAATAAGTGATGTTATTTTGACCCATAACAATTTAATCATTTGTGTGTAAAAAAAAATAGCATTCTCTTCACTAATACAGGAAGTAACAACACATGGTCGAAAAGAAACATCAGTATTATACATTCTAAATTATACTTAAAAATGTGTATAGTAATAATTGCTTAAGAGTTGGTACACCGACTGATTTTGTTATTTGTTGCTAACATAAACATTTGGTGAAACCAATAGTGTGCCTGGCATCGTACCTAGTGTTGGTCATGATATGTATTATATAGTACCAGGAAAACGAGTAATGACGATAATTAACGCATTGAGTAAAAAAAATGAGTCATGTGCCTATGCGGTACTGTTTTTATTTACATTCATTCATCGGACCGTTGACGACGGCGTGTTCGGTGTACATAAAAAGGCCGGTCTACCGGTGGCTTGTGGACGGCGTGTTCTCGATATTTTTTATACTATTTTTTGGCAGCAATCGCGTTGCGTCTTGCGCCGCCACGGCCGTCGCCCGGTAACGGCGTCTCGCGCCAAACGAATGGGGTACCAGCCACGCCGCCACCGTAGACGTCGAAGCCAACAGACTATGACGCAATTTTAGTGGTGTCTTGCGCGCGCAGACACCGCCGTGTTCTAGAATGCACCACCTCCGAAATAAAAAAGGGCGCAATTTTGTTTTCCATTCACCCTTTTAAATTTATGGCGTGCAAATTACGCGACTGGGACCGGAAATGATATCCGGTTATAATGTATACATAATATTATTAATCGGTTTTACCTTCGGTACTTACCAACATGTTTAATAGAGTAATACTGTTTTGCAAGTCGGTGTGGCTATGGTGTTTTTTTATAATAATAATAAAAATAATGATATCATAAAACAACTGTAAATTATTGATAAAAATTTTTTAAAAAAAAACAAGAAAACGCACGTGGGTCGCGTGATACCAACGATAAGGCTGCGGCGTGTGGTACGCGAATGGAACGTAACGAAAACTGCCGCGGTGGTGTCCGTGTCGTCTGGCGCGCGTTCCGAGTACTCTGCGCGTGTGTCTTTTTGTGGCTGTAGCGCGCGCGCGCGTATGTACGGTTATTGGCGGCGGTAGCTATTGTGCACCAAACGGGGTGGGCGCCTCCACCACTGCCGCCGCCGCCTGCAGTTACATAGGTACACGTTTTATTATTTATTATTATGGAGTATATTATTATGTGTTTGTATGTGTGTGCGTGGTGGACGTACGCCAAAGCGTTCGCCGCCGTTATGGGCTATGGCCACTGTATTATTAGTTGTTACTATTATTTTTTGCTCGTGCACGGCCGCGACTGTGGATACTTCATTCACTGAACCGGCCACGACGGCAGCGCTCGACCGGCGACTAGTGGCCGAACGTCCTCGACGGTTGGACGCTGCGCCCTAAGGCCTAAGCCCTTACCCACGACGATAAACGTTGGCTGCGAACGACGGACATCGACGTTCGACATAGACGGTTGTACAGCTTTAGAAAAATTCAAACAATACATAGTTACGTTCGACGAAGTCGCACTCGACGGTTTAGACAAGGTCTATGTTTGAACCTTGTGAGCTTTGAGGTCACACCGTGGGCCATTGCCTGATGATGTCACTTGTCAGTATTGTAGGTTGTATATAGCTGACGCGTCGGCACTAGCGGTTCATTGAACTAGGACAGCAATAAGCTATTAAACCCACATCTATGCGATTATTTCCTAAAGTCTGACGTCTTTTACTAATTGTATGTTGTATTGGTTGGAGTTGGACGGAATAATTATAATTTAGATGGTTGCAAGGGCGTCCACCTAGTAATCACCAGGTAAGGTGGGACAATCATGTAACGCAAATATGATAAATCAAACTTTGTCAAAAACGTTATCAAATAATTCGTTAGTTAGAAAAGTGGTTATTCTTATGTTTACTTGCATTTTTTCCAGATTGGGGGAGGGACGTTTCGGATTATCTCTTAATAGAACGAAAATATATTGCATGGTGATAACAGATAAACATACTTTAAGAGTATATAAAATTAATGAAGATTAGGAACACTCAATTAATTAAGGGAATTGAATGCGGAATCGAAAAAGCCGGAAAATGTCCAAAGTACCAAGTGTCATGACTAATATCAGGTACCCTGTTTATTCTATACGGTGCCGAAACCACCGGGCGTCGAATTCGATAAATCATTAATATTTGTATTACTTATTATTAAAAACAGCATATTGGCTAAGTACTGCAGTAGGAAGATAATTAAAATATCACCACAGTAGATGTACAATGTACATCTTGAAAGATATTTTTCACATGTAATAAAATTAATACCGAACTAAAATGAAATTTTAACATAATCGCCAAGTACCAACTGGTTAACTGATCGTATAAAGATGCTATTAGTGATGAAAAAAATACCAATCCAGACGCATTATCCAACCTCAGAAATCAGAATCATCTCAGGGTGGTTATTTTGACCATAATTTGCTCGATGGGTTTTAATATGGAAAGAAGGACATTTTCGAAACTATAATTTGTATTGAGTTATGTGGAAGGCCGAAGGAAATAGGTTCTAGAAGTGAGTTCTGGGGAATAGGTAATGTTGTTATTTAATAATTTTGAAAGGAAGGAAATGTCTGCAATTTTTCGAAGAATAGATAACGGATTAAGATTGAGAAATGTTTTAATATCATTTAAATTAAAGAAGTTATTATTATTTAACATTTTTTTATAACCAATAAAGCGCAAGTTTTCTTTGCTCTCTTTGCTTCTTTTGTTTCAATTTTTCTACTTGACAAATGGAGAATGTAATCGAAAGAACGGAAAAAGAAACAGAACTATTGGCAATGATAAAATCACGTAAGCTGGGATATATCTGGGACAAATGGGAAATAATCAATGATATGGACTACAGCGGCTGATACTTCAAGGAAAAATGTCATATCAGTGATCAGTCGGTTTTATATATATTTTATAGTATGTATGGAGTTTATAAAAAGCGAAAGAGGTCGGATTACTTTACATTTATTTTTTAACATACTATTTTTATTAATTTGTGTTTACAAATAATATAAATAGGTATAATAACATAGTAGCTGAACTTGGTACCTATATGCCGGGTGATTATTTTAACGCCCTACACCAGTTTTCTCTTAAAATGATAGACATTTTGTAGTTAAAAGTATTCAAAACTCGTTATCGACTAATCGAAATATTCAGTAAATTCAATTAAGTATACAAATTAGGTACCATTTAAGTTTCAAAAGTTGATAAAGCTCTAGAAAATAATAAAAAAGAAAATTTGAATATTGTCTAATGTCATAACATCAACGTTTTCTCAAAGAAAAGCTACAAAAGTGTAATATTTTAAGATTAAACTAGTGTAAGACGTTAAAAGAATCACCCGGCATAAATATATATACATAAATAATCGTGGTGAGTGGTCTTTAGTTATTGAAAATAGTAGCGTATTTTAAAAGGAAGCACTGATAACATTTAATCCCCATTTTGGAAAAATTAGAAGTAATGGGTACGTTGAAATAAGGGACGAATGTGATATAGTAAAACGCGTAACAGAAATTAGCCAAGAGAGGTTTACAGGTAGACCTAAATGTCTTGTCACGGTCCGGTGACTTAACCGGAGCTAGATCGCACAACGGAGGCGGGCTTTGGTAGGTATATTGAAAATAATATACCCAGAATATATATATCACAATAAAGTTTTATCGATTTAGACTCGACTTACAAATGTGGGCGACTTCCACTGTTAAGCTGCATAATATAATATAATGTTTAATCGTGTGTACCCGGTTCTACGTAAAGGGTCTAAGAGCATTTATCAAATTGAGTTCAAGTGACAAACATGTCAGGCAACTTAGAAAGTAAAAACAAACTCTTGGCGTTCCCCGAGAAAGTAGGAAGCACAAAATCGATATATAGCAGTATGGTTTGCAAACAGCAAATTATAATAGGTTTTGCAAACGATTTCGTGTGATACATAAATCACACGCCGGTATCGAAACACTTGTTAAACTGAATCTGAAAAATGTGATATACTTACTCGTGTCAAGGTAATGGCGTAGCTAAAATAAAAATCAGGTAGGTAAACAAAAAGTGTACTAAAAGGTTTTTTGTCGTCTAGTATTTTTTTTTTGTTATGACATGTCAGTCCACAGACCACAATGCGTCATGTGCACGCTGTCAATGTCCAAATTGATCATACATATTATATTAAACATGAAGTTACCAGAAGGCAGAAACATATGCTACCCATTACGTTTTGGACATATTGCGACAAGACTCATTTGTCAATTTTTAAAAATATTGTTGGAATTTTCATACATATATAAAATACGTTCAATCAGCTGTGGCAATTAAAAATAGTTAAGTTTTTTAGTTAAGAAATTTAAACATAATTGGGAAGGGGGATCTTCATAGAATATCGAGTGGACTTAACCCCCACTTCAGGCGTCCATTAGTTAGCTTAATATGTTCATTATAATTTAACACTCTTGAAGACCAAAAGCTCATCAGTGCTCAGTGTATGAACTTGACAGGTATCTCACTCCTGGTTAAATGAAGTCCTACATTTTGTAGTTATAACTTCATACTCCTTTGTGCACTATCACGTTTGTACAATTTATAAACAAGTTTTAAACACATTTGTTTTTTATAGTAGTAAATAAGATTTGCATGTCAACTACAATGTGTATAAGCCTGTTATAAAATATTAAAATAAAAATTATAACATGCATATCAATATGTTTACCAATCTAATACAATTTGTATTGGATATTCCTTGTAATATACAAGAAATAGTTGAATAAAAATAGATTCTTGCTGCAACGTATGATAGGTATTGTATACAATACCGTAACATTGGAAAATGCTGCTTTAATATGATTCCAGTGAAATAGACTGTGAAATAAATCTACTATTATTAGAAAAAAATGCAATAACTAGGTCTCAACTTTGAGAAAATTCGATGGTTTAAAATAAAAATGTAAAATTTGACAACAGCGCTGTCTTAACAGTGTTTAACATTAAATTAAAATAGTTTTTTTTGTTTTTCCTAAACGAAAATACATTTAAAAAATTGTTAATTACAATTATTAACTAAAATTATTTTACTCACGTAGAACACGTTAATGGCGCACAAGTGAAACCTAAACTCTTCCAAAAAGTTAAAAAATGTATAAGCACAACACAACATTATTATAAATAATTTCACAAAAAATCATTTTAAAAAACCGGCGCAGTGATGTTGGGGAATATTAGGGACGGAGCATTTTATTAGGATAGGTGAGGTCACAGAGTTTTAAGAATTTTTGCTTGCGAATCTCTAGTTGATAAAATTAAAAATATACATTTAGGTCCCTTTTTATTTATTAATAAATTGTATAGATACAAGGTGAAATTTTAAAGTGATCCACTCAATATCGTATAGGGTTTAATCAGTAATTGAATTATATTTTCCCGTAGTGTTTTCAATTTTTCACAAACTTTAATGTTTTTAACCCCTTCAAAATAAGTTATTTTTGTATCAACTTTTGTAACTTTTATGGTAACGTATATATTTTATTAACTTTTTAAATTAAGAATAGCTTACTGAACAATGTTGGCTGGTCGATAACCAGTTTTAGATAATTATTCTTGAAGTTATTTAAGTTTAAAGTTTAGGAAGGGTGGTGAGTAGTCCTTTTTTATCTTCGCGCATTACTCATAAGCACTTCCTCTCCTGTTCTGACTTTTAGTTAAAATTTTTCAGTAAATTATTCTTAATTTAAAAAGTTAATAAAATATATAGGTTACAATATAATTTACAAAAGTTGACAAAATAGTAAATATTTTTATAAGGGGTTTAAAATACAAAAGTTTGTAAAAAACTGAGATCACATTGTATAAAATGTAAAAACACTACGGGAAAAAAAATGAATAACTGATTAAACGCTATTAGATATTGAGTGGATCATTTTAATATTATTACCCTGTATATTTACGGATAACACATTTTCATTT